ATGGAAAAGTGGACTGTAATGTCATGTTAATATAATATACTTAACCTCAATAATTTAAGGTGGCAATATAGACTGTAATGACCTGTTAAAGCTCCAAAATTGTTTTAATATAATATACTTAACCTCAATAGCTAAATGTGGCAACGTGGACTGTAATGACATGTTAATATACTTAACCACAATAACTAGATGTGGGAACGAAGATTGTAATGATATATTTATATAATATACTTAACCTCAATAACTAGATATGACAACGTGTACTGTAATGACATGTTCGAAGGTCCGGCAGGGTTCGGTGACAGCAGAATGTAAACGTCGATTGGTTGCCGAGGGGAAGCGTGCAGCTCGGAGGATCGGGTGCGATCGACTCAGAACGGGACACCAAGCCATATATATGCCGTGAATGTGGTCGAGGCTTCCTGGCTCGGATAGGACTCCTGAGCCATCTCCGTATCCACAGATAGACCAAATGATGTCGTGGTCTTCTTCGAACTTCGAAGGACGAAGAACAATATGTCAATACAGTCCACGTTGTCACATCTAGTTATTGTGGTTAAGTATATTATATTAACATGTCATTACAGTACACGTTGCGATATCTAGTATTGAGGTTAAATATATTATATTAACAAGTCATTACAGTCCACGTTACCACGTCTAGTTATTGAGGTTAAGTATATTATATTCCCGACACAGACGTTCTCAAACGTGCTGGTGTCCCTAGTGTATACACGCTTCTCCAGAAAGCACAAGTCAGATGGGCCAGTCACCTCGTGAGAATGCCAGCTGATAGAATACCGAAGCAAGTTCTCTTTGGTGAACTTAGTGAAGGTAAACGATCGGTTGGAGGACAGAATAAACGTTTTAAAGACTGTTTAAAACTATCCCTGCAAGAGTTCGACATCAACCATGTGAACTGAGAGTCGCTCGCCCAGGATAGATTTCTTTGGAGAAAACTCTGTCTTGCTATTTAACATGGAGGAGCCGGCGGAGACAGCACAGATGGAAGTGATTAAGCTTTCTGGCGTGCCTCTGATACACAGTCCATGTCATTACAGTCCACTTTGCTATTTCTACGTATTGAGGTTAATTACTTTAAAATGCCATTGCAGTCCACGTTGCCACATCTCGTTATTGAGGTTAAATATGTTATATTAACATGTCATTCCAGTCCACGTTGCCACATCTAGTTTTTGAGGTTAAATATGTTATATTAACATGTCATTACAGTCCACGTTGTCACATCTAGTTATTGAAGTTCAATATGTTATATTAACATGTCATTACCGTCCACTTTGCTATATCTACGTATTGAGGTTAATTACTTTAAAATGTCATTGCAGTCCACGTTGCCACATCTAGTTATTGAGGATGAGTATATTATATTAAAACAATTTTAGAGCTTGAACTTGACATTACAGTTCACGATGCCACATCTAGTTATTGAGGTTAAGTGCATTATATTAACATGTCGTTATAGTCAAAGTTGCCACATCTAGTTATTGTGGATAAATATATTAACATGTCATTACAGTCCACGTTGCCACATCTAGTTATTCATGTTAAATATGTTATATTAACATGTCATTATAGTCCACTTTGCCACATCTAGTTATTGAGGTTAAGTATATTATATTAACATGACATTACAGTTCACAATGTCACATCTAGCTATTGAGATTGAGTATATTATATTAAAACAATTTTGGAGATTAAACTTGTCATTACAGTTCACGATGCCACATCTAACATTTGAGGTTGACTGTATTATACTAAATAGTTTTGGAGCTTGAACTTGTCATTACAGTTAACGATGCCACATCTAGTTATTGGGGTTAAGTACATTTTATTAAAATGTCATTACAGTTCACGATGCCACATCTAGTTATTGAGGTTAAGTATATTATATTAAAATGTCATTAAAGTCTACGTTATCAAATCTAGTTATTGAGGTTAAGTATATTATATTAAAATGTCATTGGTTGTGCTTCATCCCGCTCCTTGTCGATCTCTAGTTGATCTAGAATTATCCATTGACGGTGTGAACCTGGAGACAGTTGAGAGTTTTTGCTATCTTGGAAGCACGCTTACGAAAGACGCTAACATCGACATAGAGGTTGACCACCGGATCGCATGTGCGAGCTCTGCTTTCGGAAGACTCCATCGCAGTGTGTGGGAGCGAAGAGGGCTCAGACTAACCACCAAGCTGTAGGTTTATCGGACAGTGGTATTGAGCCTCTTACTATATGCCAGTAAAACATGTTATATAATATACTTAAGTATATTATATTTACATGTCAATACAGTCCACGTTACCACATCTAGTTAAGAAGGTGAAGTATATTATAATAACATGTCATTACAGTCTTCTTTGCTATATCTACGTTTTGTGGTTAATTACTTTAAAATATCATTGCAGTCCACGCTGCCACATCTAGTTATTGAGGATGAGTAAATTATATTAAAACAATTTTAGAGCTTGAACTTGACATTACTGTTCACGATGTCACATCTAGTGATTGAGGTGAAGTATATTATAATAATACCTCATTACAGTCAACGTTGCTATATCTAGTTATTGAGGCTAATTATATTAACATGTAATACAATCCAAATTGCCACATCTAGTTATTGTGGTCATGTACTTTGTCGAATGTTCAAGTTCTTACTAGAAATAGGGTACGCTGGTATATAAAAGAGGGGAATGTAATGTGTGGATAGTCAATGAGTAATTGAACTGCAGTCAGAGATAGACGTATTGTTGTAGTTAACGTTCGTTCGTTATTATAGTTTGTTATAAAGCGACTGTTGAGAATAAGTGTATCGGTAAAGTTGTATTCGGAAAGAATAAACCAGTTTTATTAAGTAAAGAACTTGTGTCGCTTAAGTTTCGTCGGAACGAAGTTACGGAAAGTTAATTAACAAACGGAGACGTAACAATATATAAGCCGCCAAGAAGTGACGGCAACAATGTGTAATGTAAGGTGTAATTGAAAGTAGAGTCGAGCACGTGAGACGTTCTTTGTGAATTATAGCGTTTGTTATAACGCGACTGTGGAAATTAAGTGTATTGCAAAGTTGTATTCAGAAAGAATAAACCAGTTTTACTTAAGAAAGGACTTATGTCGCTAAAGTTTCATCGGAAAGAAATTATACGGAAAATTAACTAACGACCAAAGACGTAACACAACTGTAGATATTAACCGTAGAGCTCAATGCTGGCAACTTCAGTCATAACAGTCCATCTTGACACATCTACTTATTGAGGTTAAGTATATTATATTAACATGTCATTACAGTCCAAGTTGCCATATCCAGTTGATGAGGCTAATTATATTAACATGTCATTACAATCCACGTTGCAAGATCTAGTTGTTGAGGTTAAATATATTATATTAACATAACATTACAGTCCACGGTGCCACATATAGATATTCAGTTTGAGTATATTATATTAAAATGTCATCACAGCCCACAAGTCATTACACTCCACGTTACCACATCTAGTTATTGAGGTGAGGTATATCATATTACAATGTCATTACAGTGCAAATTACCACATCTAGTTCTTGAGGTTAAGTATATTACATTAACATGTCATTACAGTCCACGTTGCCACATATAGTTATTCAGTATGAGTATATTATATTAAAACAATTTTGAATCTTGAACATGTCATAACAGTCCACTTGCCACAACTATTTATTAAGGTTAAGTATATTATATTAAAATGTCATTACAATCTACGTTGCCACATCTAATTATTGAGGTTTAGTATTTTAATATGTCATTACAGTACACGCTGCGATATCTAGTAATTGAGGTTAAATATATTATATTAAAAGTATTTAAGAGCTTTAACAGGTCATTACAGTCCATATTGACATATCTAGTTATTGAGGTGAAGTATATCATATTAAAATATCTACGTATTGAGGTTAATATTTTAAAATGTCATTGCTGTCCACGTTGCCACATATAGTTATTGAGGTTAAATATGTTATATTAACATGTCATTTCAGTCCACGTTGTCACATCTAGTTATTGAAGTTAAATATGTTATATTAGCATGTCATTATAGTCCACGTTGTCACATCTAGTTATTGAAGTTAAATATGTTATATTAGCATGTCATTACCGTCCACTTTGCTATATCTACGTATTGAGATTAATTACTTTGAAATGTCATTGCAGTCCACGTTGCCACATCTAGTTATTGAGGATGAGTATATTATATTAAAACAATTTTAGAGCTTTAACAGGTAATTACAGTCCATATTGCCATATCTAGTTATTGAGGCCAATTATATTATCATGTCATTAAATCCAGGTTGCCACATCTAGTTATTGAGATTAAATATGTTATATTAACATGTCATTACAGTCCACGTTACCACGTCCAGTTTTTCAGGTTAAGTATATTATATTAACATGTTATCAGAGTCGACGTTGACACATCTAGTTATTGAGATTAAATATGTTATATTAACATGTCATTACAGTCCACGTTACCACGTCTAGTTTTTCAGGTTAAGTATATTATATCAACATGTTATCAGAGTCGACGTTGACACATCTAGTTATGGAGGTTACGTATATTGTAATAACATATTATTACAGACTACTTTGCTATTACTATTCATCGAAGTTAATTATTTTAAAATGTCATTGCAGTTTACGTTGCCACATCTAGTTCTTGAGGTTAAGTATATTATTTTAACATGCCGTTGAAGTTCACATGTCACATCTATTTATTGAGGTTGAGTATATTATATTTAAACAGTTTTGGAGCTTGAAATTGTCATTACAGTTCACGATGCCACATTTAGTTATTGAGGTTAAGTATATTATATTAACATGTAATTATATTCCACGTTACCACATCTAGTTATTGGAATGAAGTATGTTAACATGTCATTACCGTCCACTTTGCTATATCTACGTATTGAGGTTAATTACTTTAAAATGTCATTGCAGTCCACGTTGCCACATCTAGTTATTGAAGTTAAATATGTTATATTAACATGTAATTACCGTCCACTTTCCTTTATCTACGTATTGAGGTGACGTATACCATATTAAAAGATCATTATAGTTCACGTTAGCACATCTAGTCACTGAGGTTAAGTATATCATATTAAAACAATTTTGGATCTTGCACATGTCATAATAATCCATCTTGCCACATCTAGTTATTGAGTTTAAGTATATTATATGAGTTTGTCATTACAGTACACGTTGCCACATCTAGTTATTGAGAGTGATAGTTCTAGAAACGTGACGTGACACTAGTCACGTGACCTCGCTGACGCAACACTGCACCCTCCTTAATATCTCGTACTTCCAGTACGGAAGAAGATACGTCCCGTAAAATTAAGAGACTTTGTCGAATTGTAATTTTGTGTTTGTAATTCTGTACATTTTAATTAAGTTAATTTTTATTGGTTTATCATATGTGGTTATTGTTCGGGACGAACCAAATCTTTATGTTCACTGTACACTATAAACACAGAACCCGTCCTTTCTTTATAGTGTAAAACGACAAATCTTTATGTTCACTAACTTTACCGAGTGCATGCAGGTGATGACAAGAAACTGTTAATTTAGTTTCCTTGATATTACTATAAAGGAAGTTATTAACGCTGTTTTGGAGATGAAAAACTACCACCATATAAAGAATCTGGATAGTTCTGTAAAGTATAGATCTGTTCCAAATGATAGTGTTGCAATCCTAAAGCTAATGTTGGTTACTATTGAGTGTTACTTTCTTACTTACTGTGGTTTGTTGGTGTGTATTGACAAAAAGTCATATGTAATCAAAAGCAACTTAGATGTGAAGAAAAGGTGTGACCAAAAAAAGAATTGAGCATGCAACTTTAAGGAATGAAATCAGAATTGGTGACCAAATTGGTAGATACACTTGTAGCATTGATAAGAATTTTACAGCAAATATTCATTCACTAATTAGTTAGGCCACGTATTTTGTTTTACTCACCATCGTGCCCCAAGTTGAACAAAACTTGGGGAATGAGTAATACTTGATTAATCATATGTTCCACTAATCATCCAGTTCTACTGGTGGGGTCTACATACTGTGTGATATTTAGTAATTGTATGTTACAACACTCAGAATAAGGAACTAACCAAAAAATTACCTGGGAGTAATTAGTTTGAATAATTGTTATATTTATGTTAGTTTTGATTATATTTGTGTAAATTTGGGACTCGTGTCATTAGGAACCTGATATTCCACCAAGTCTTGGACCCATAAGCAGTTTGGTGTATAATATATTTAAAAGAGATCTGTTTATGATAAATGTAGAGTTAAGTTAGTTAACAGTATTTTTTTTTTCATTTCCAGTTAACAAGTGTTCACCATCTTCAATCAGCTTTTGATGAAGGTGAGATATTCTCTTTTTACAGATACAACTGCTTAGTGATAATATCATGTTCAACTTTATTTATAACTTAGTCCAAATTGAAGCTTTAGTTCCTTTATTTTTCTAATATTTCTGTACCTGGATTTTTATTAAAGGCATTGTTACTTTTATCAAGTTCTTTGCAAAGCCTTCTTAACTGTGATTGATTTGGCATTTTTGCTGTTGTACCATGTTTTAAATGTGTATAATTGTACACTCACCCATTTTTATTTATGTATCAACATATTTTGTGTTTCTGAATCTTGGTCAAGGTATGTGTTGGGGTTGCTAGCCTTATCAAGTCACTTCATTACCCTCATGGTAACATTTAAGGTTTGTGTGGTATTTTAAGGTGCTAACAAAGTTGATATTAGTTTTTATGTTTCAGCACTCTCCTACTCCAGATACCACCCATCTAAAGGTTATTGGTGGGAATTTAAAGATCAAGAAGCAACAGGTTAGTGCTGTTGTTATTAATTATTTTCATCACACAGTTAATCATCTTTGTTTTTATGCATCTGTACTTAGGCTTATTTTCAGCATAGGTTTAAGATTTGTTTATAACTATCGCAAAATTACACGAGTTACAGTGTGTAGCAGTTGAAATATAGAAAACTTGAACTGCCACACTTTTATACTTTAGATTAATTTACATGGACAATACTTTTAGCAGTAAAATTTTTTTCATACTATTCTGTTGCTTTGTAATTTTTGATGTACATATATAGATCAACTGTTAGTTGCATTCCACAAAATTTATGTACATTACTCACCACTGTATAACAACGACTGTAAAATATAATTTAGAACATGTAAAATCTAATCTTAATCGATTGTATGATTCAATGTTAGAGGTGTGAGTTTAACAGAAGTATAGTCATTGTTTTTTGAAAAATACTTTGTTCTTTTTTGAAGTAAAATGGTGTTGATCCTATTTGCAGAAGGTTTTGTAGATCATTCATACTTTAAGTGATCCATTCAGTACTTAATCAGATATTTGCAAACAATAATTGACCATTGCTATTAAGAAATGTGTATTGCTTTTGTTTATTTTCTTTGAAATCTTTATTTATTTATTGTAATTAAAAAGATTCTGGTAAGTTTACATTATAAACATTTTGTAACTTTGTTGTTTTTGTTTCCTTTATATAACAATTTGATTCAGTTTGTGTATGTATGAAGAACAACAGTTTGATAGTATTTGTTACAAATTTTCATAGACAAAACCAAGACCAAAGAAAAGGTTAAAGAAGAACCGAGTTCCATCTTCCAGAGGAGAAGAGTTGACATACTTCTTGCTGAGCTCACAAAAAAGTTCCCTCCAAAACTTCCATCTCCTCCACAACTAGAAAAACAAACAGGTTTGTATAAGTTTCAGACTTCTACCTCTTTTGTATTTGGAAGTTTCTCAGTCGAACAGAATTCTTCATTCTTATTCTGTATTTACTTTGTTTTTTTATGTTTTTGAACTGCTCATACTAATTTAGAAAAAGCAACCTGAAATGTTGTACCTAGGTTCTTGAACTCCACATAACAAAAACAATAACTTAAAGTGATGAAGGGGCCCTCAGAATGGGAGTAAGGATTTGTTGAGGCTTTCCAGTTTGATTGAAACAGCTTACCTGGGGTCTGTTAGGATCTGTGGATTATCATCAATATTGATAATGACTTTTAAGCAGGGTTTAGCACTGCCATCACCTGAAATTGGAGCACAGTCCCAAATCTTCAAAAACTAATAGTACGTGTATAAAAAAACAACAAAAAAACTAACATCTCACAGTGTTGGAGAACAAGCTGGCTGTTTGTGATCCCTCCATCTATGTCCATTAGTAGAGCTCTCCTACACTGCACAGCACACACACACACACATTGTAACTCTTTCTCAGGAACTGGCATCAGGCATTGTGTGACTACATAGGCTCAAGAGCCGTATCAGACCATTAAAATAAAATATTTTTTTATCCTATGTCACATGGCTGTTAAGACAAATAAATGTTATTAAATGCTTAAAATTCATTTTAAAATTGTGTTTAAAACATACACATTTTTAAAAGGCTTATTATTTACATACTATACAACAAGAGGTGTGAAAAGCAATATAAGTAAGTTATTAATACTTTTAGTAGACATGGTGCTAAAAGTATTTTATATATGGTACCCATTGTTTTCTTTCCTTGCTTCTTAATTTAAAGGAAGCTGAGTTGCACGTTTTCCCTTAGTAGCATATTCATATTCAATTTATTACTAATGTAACTTGTTTTAAATGATTAGTGCTGCATATATTTCATTTAAAATACTCATAAAAAATGTAAATCAGGTTTTAAGTATGAGATATTTACCATGATGGTGACATCGTATGTCTGACAAAGTTTGGCAGAGATCACACTATAAAATTTAGCACTATGCCATAGCATTGGAGGGATTTTTCAATTTTATTTTCATTTATATTTTTTTAATTTTCAAATTGGAGCTTATTAATGGTTATTCAAGGGATTTGGAGGGGGGGTGGGGTTCTTAGGCTGCATAATTCCCTAGAAAATGAGAAGAATGTACAGATTTCCCATGAATTTTTATGGGTAGTTTGCTAGTTATAAGTCTTAAAAATCTAAACCTATTGTAAATACAAAAGTATGAATAAGTTATTGTTTTTAAAGCTTATAGATTTCTAATAACTTTAATGTAACATGCAAGTTAAAGCTCAATAAATTGAACAAGACATTGACAGTTGCTGATAAACTTCACTGTTGGAGCTCTTTCTGTTAAAATGAATTGATAAGGGAAACATGGCAGAACTACAGATGTTTCCTTCAACTGCTTTTATGCTGGTCTAAGAGTCATTCTGATCTTCATAAGAAATTTTTAATGTTTTAAAATAATATAAAATCAGCACTACTAGTATAGAAATAAGTTAAATAAATTAAAAGTTTCGGTGTAATAAAGCATAATCAAAGATAGGAAATGACTTGTCAGTATCAACTTAGCTACATTTACAACGTTGTTTACTGGCTTGTTTGGATGTAATATAGTACAGATTTCTTTTCTTTTCACCAAAGGTAAGATTGAAAATATAATCTGTGACATAGGAGCCTAGTGCATTCATTGATTGACCACACTCTGCTGTGAACTGCAATTTTGCATATTCAAGACTCATCAGCACAGCTTCGGTCAACAAACCAAAGAAATATAATATTTGTGGGTTTTTTGAGTTACTATGTGGTGAGTTAAAAAAGACTGAAAAACCCCATAAATAGTTTGGATGTTAAATTTAAGTGTCTTTAATGAGATATTGAGAAGGAATGATTCTTTATATAAAAAAAAATGCAACGTATTTGCTGTTATTACTCCATTGCTTAATATTTAACTTTTTAATGAGTATTTTTTTTGTGTGTGTGTAGAGGAAAGTGTGAAAACTGAAATAAAAGTTGAAGTTAAGCAAGAAAAAACAGAAACACAACATGCGGCTCCATTTCCAACTCAGTCGGCAAAAACTGGAATTAAACCACCACCAGAGAAGAGACCACGACTTGCATGAAATATCTAATCTTTTGACTGTATTTAAGATGTAAATAAATTGACTAAAAAAAAACACTGATTTTTGAATAATTTTGGGTATCATTAAAGATACTCATCTAGTTTCAAAAAGAGAGATCATGCTTTATAAGCATAACATGTATGATCTGACAGATCAGTGATCATTAGATCATCCTTGGGTGTTGCATTTATTTAGCACCATAGAATATTTTCATATTCATTGTAAATCCAGTTACAGAAAATTTCTTTATCTGAAATCTAGTTATGATATAAAATATTTTCACTTTTAGCAAAAAACGCAGCAAGTGTAACAAACTGTCAGAAGTTATAATATTAAAGAAACTAGTCTTGACACATTTGTGTGCCCTCTTAAGTCTCACATTGTGTTCTGGTAGAAAAACTGGTCAACAACACCTATGTAACCCTGAAACTTCAAATTTTCTTAAATATACAAGAGATCACCAAGTTCTTTAGCTTAAAGTAGCCTTGGGAGGTGTATGAATTAGGCAGGCTTTTGATGAAATAACTTTCCACGATTCATATTTTAATGTAGTTATTCAATTTACATAAAATTCCTCTTTATTTCCAATCAATTTGGCCAGAATCTCTCATAGGAATAAAAATGGCAATGTTTGTGTTTCCAAATTTAATGTCGTGTTTAGAAACTCCTGTTAGCACTTTTAGTTTTATCTACATAACCTTACACAAAGGAGTGACACGGTGTAATATAAACACCTTGTTTTTTTAACTTTGGATGTTTGAAGTTAGGTTATCTTTAATGGTGTACAGATATTTGTTTATGATCCTTAACTTGTTATTCCTTAATGTTTTCTCTAGGGGCTCAGTGTTAGTGTTGTAGCTAATAAAGAGTAAGTTTCATATTTGATTGCTCTTTGCCTTCTTGGAATAAAGTTTTCGTGTTTTAAGATGGCAGTTTGTAATGGAAAATGGAGTTCTCTGAAAATAGAAAAGATATTTTTAATTACATGTTGAAGATTTATCGATTTACACTATAAAGAAAGGACGGGTTCTGTGTTTATGGTGTAAAGTGGACATAAAGATTTGTCGTTTTACACTATAAAGAAAGAACGGGTTCTGTGTTTATAGTGTACGTATCAAGAATCAAGAATCAAGTTGTATC